CCCAAGCCAGTTCTTAACCGTCGCGCCACTCGGCCGGCCCCTAAAGCAGTTTTACTTGTAGGTCATTTGGAAGTTACTGGTTCACTAAGTTATGCAGTTCTTCCAAAAGGTGACACATTTCATTATATAGTATCAAAAAATCTTTTTGCTATACCACCAACAATCTCATCAGAAAAAAATGGTTAAATATTAGAAAGTTGTCACGGTCATGGTGGTAAATGGAAGTTTTCAAAAATTCTTACTTTTGCTTGAAAGTTTAATTTGATCATTGATAACAAATATTGTCAGTTGTTTCCCTTGAAGTAATAGGCTCTCTATGTTCATTCTTAAGAAAATATCTGCCAAACACCTAAGTATGAATAACCACAGCTGGTCTGCCACTTGTTCTTTCAAGGTGGCCCATGAAAAAGAGGGCTTTGTAACTTGAATTTTGAAACAAACTATTTCACAAGGGTTTTTCCTTAAGACAACTACTACACTTTGGTACACATAGAAGTACTCCATGTGTACTTTCTGTTTCATCACACCAAATTTTTAAACAGACATATATTCAAGGATTGAGATTTAGTAACATTTACAACTTCATCAAGGACATTTTTAAGTGAAACCAATGTTTTTAGTTTTTAAAAAAAATCTATTAGTACAAACAATATGGCACCATGACTTTGATTTGTGCTAAGGTATAAGTAGTTTCATCCACTATTGTTTTTGCACCATCAGTGCAAATGTCAACACAGTGAAAGAGACAAATCATGTCTTAGCATTGTGAGAATGGTGACTTTCACAAGGTCACTGTGTGACCTTGCGTGGCCCACATCTGAAGAGCCTCTGGTCTCCTATGATCCTTTTCCAGTCACCTGTCTGGCTGGTTTGCCATAATCACCTCTATGACTTTGCGTATTTTATTCTTTGCCTACATCTCTTTTACCACCAGCTGGCAAAATCCTATTTGTCTTTTGAGATGTGGCTTGCATTTCATTTCTGAGAAGTCTCCTTCAGGCTGATTTAACCACCCTCGTTTCTGCGCTTCTGTACACACTGCACATACACTGTTTCAGCATTTACCACATTGCAGGCAGAGGGTCTACTTAACATTTCAAAGCACCCAATGTGTAGACTCTGTGTTAAGTCTTTTTTGCATGCTTTCACATGATCTCCTTTAATTAATTTCACGTGACAGGTATCATTATAGCCACTGTCCATGGAAGAACCAGACTGATAGCTGAAAGAGAGGTCAAAGCCAATTATTTCAGCAGTGTGGTAATCTTCCCCCCCATTTGTCCCTATGGTACATATATGACACCATTAAAATGTTCAATTTATGATGCCTGAACAATCAAATAAATCTTAGTGACAATCTAATCCCATAATGAAAGGCTCCACGAAGTCCCTCATCTTTTAGGACCTAAAAGCTGTCCTTCAGTGGGGTATTTTCCACTCCTTATATACAGTTTGGATTTGGACTCTTCACTTACTTTGGAAAAACGTGTATTTTCATTTCTTCCAGCAGTGTGTTTCCAGGTGCAGGATGGTGACTTAAGTCACACTGCCATCAAGCCAGAAACACATATGTTGACACTTGACAGGAATGTTTTTCCTCTTAGAGTTGCTTCAAGTAAATACCAATGGTATCTCCAAGTAAATGAGGTAATTACTGTAAAAGCAAATGGTCTATATTTTTTAATATGAGTATTCACGTTTTAAACTTTTTGAAAGTTCAAAAAAAACCTATTTAATACCTTTTCCTACTTAGTCTGGGACATTATGAGATGTGAAAATTCCAGTGGGTCTCTAAGGAAAGTTTAATGCCTCATGATGCTTCACGCAGACTACAGCACATCTTTAGAATGGTGGTGAGATCAGTGGTTTGAGAAGTGTGGCCCCAGGACCAGCAGCATAAGTGTTACCTGGGATTGCTGGAAATGCAGATTCTCAGGGCCCCAGACCTACTGCATCAGACACTCTGGTTGGCCAGCAATCGTATTTCAGCAGCCCTCCAGCTGTTGTGGTGAGGCATGGTTAAATTTGAGAACCCATGGGGCAAAGCAATTGCATCTTTTGGACTCATGAATGTTACCTATAAAGAATGGATAGATTTTGGAAGATATGACTAGCCCACGAACAACCCCATTTATGAAAATACAAGCTTGATAGCAAGGGGTCTGCCATGCCAAGGGCCTGGGCTGCCCTCATGCCCACAGATGATGGCATGCGGCCACAGCAGAGAGTCTCATTCCACAGAAGAGAGGCCAAATCATTTCTCAGCTCTGCCTTCCAAGATGCAGGTAAATGTACCACAGCCATGCTTACGGAGGAGCAAATCCATTTATCGATCTGCAAGAACTACTTGCCATGCCCTCATAGGTAGCCCCAACATGTTTAAACTGCTTCTTTTCCAAGTGAAACCCCAACCTGTATACATGCATTTTGTTACCACTGGAGGACAGCATTCTGTCATCCACTTTCAACTCCCAATGACAAGACCGTTCTTTCCGGGAATACAGTTATAACCACCATTCTACCTGCTTTTGTTGTTGCATGGTTTTAAAGAAATCAGGAACTTGTTAGAATTTTGACAACTATTTGGAGGTATGTAAAAAGCTTATTTCAGTAAAGAATATATACAAAATCTCCTAGCATTTTGCTAGAAAAAGTGAAGGCATTAAGTGTTCATTTTTATTTATACTTTTCTAAAGAAAAGCTGGTGAGAGAATCTGCCCTATCACCAGTCTGCTGTCTTGCCAGGGAGGAGACGAGGCAGGTGGAGAGGTTTGTGGCAAGTCAGAGGGAGGAAGACTCAGAACCAGGTGAATGGCTACTTGGGCACACCTTTGTTTAAAACCGAAAAGGATAGGGGTATAAGGAAATCCTTCCATTTGTTACAAACTTGGGATGGCAGTTCCTTGTTTGTATTGGTAGTTCATTAACTTGCTTACAATACAAATGAGAAGGAAAAAACTTAAGCTTCCTAAACACAAATTTAATGAGAGTGATTACAAGTGAAAATAGAAACATTTTGTTTGATCTTTTGTTCATTAATAATGCAATATTATGGAAAGACTACAAGCTTTAGAGTGAGACAGATCGAGATTTAAAGTCTGACTCTATTAGCTGTGCGAATCTGGCCAATTCTTAACTTCTCAGATTTTTAGTTTCCTCATCTGAGGAGTACAACCAATTTGTAGGGCTGTCATAAGGATTGAAAACGAATTCTGGGATGTGACTTACACAGAGTACATGATTATTAAACAGCTACTAAAGTATTAAAGAAAACTAATGTCTAAAGAACTGATGTGGGTATTCAACCTGCCTGGCTGAATTCAGGATTATTTCAGTGGGTTTCAGTATCAGTAACCAACTTCTCCAATTTCACCCACATGGTAAATCTATGAACTGCTGTCCCCTGCCCCACCCCTTTCCACACACTGGAAGAAGGACAGAAAGAGACAGCAATGAAAAACCAAGTATTCCCTTAAAATAAAGTACTGTATTTACAGACAACACTTTGGTGAAAGCCAACAAGCTTGTTCAAAGTGTCTTATTTCATCTACAGTGAGGGTAAAGGACAGGACCACCACTGACTCATTTCATCCTGTTTACTCCTCACATTATCACAGCATTTCAAAGCAACATACTTCCTGCTATTGAGGTGGGAAGGATCTGCTTTTCTAGGGTAGCGCCCTCTGCACTAACCAGGGTGCAGCAGGCTACTTAGCTGAAGGTCCAGGCCACAAACCCTGTTTAGCGCAATAAGACCACTTTAGTAATATTCCAACCCCAACTTTGGAATGCAGTTATAAAGATGGATGATGCCACCCAAGTGCTACTGACAAACAAAACTGGCTCTTGTGTCATCTTGAAGATATCAAAAACTTAGTACCTGAAAATGTGTTAAAAACATTTCCACTTCTGCCAGTCTACTTTACATACCTGAGAATGTCTTTAGGGATCTGGGATGGAGAAGAATGGGTCCTTGTCTTCTTCTCCGAGCCCTGCGGTGCCCCATTCTCTGCGGCAGCCTTCCCCACACCCACGGGCTGGTCGGCCCTGGTGGAGCTCTCTGCCCCCAGCTGGCCCTGGGCAGAGTCACACCTGTACATGAAGATGATGGCAGGCTTCTCACTGGGTTCCCCTTTTGCCTCCGTGAACCAGTGATGGCGCTGGACCGGGGGAGGGGGCAGCATGTGGATGACTGTGCCATCGAGGCCCACCAGTTTCCCTTTCTCGCGGTCTTTCTCTTTGTCGTCCTCCTCATCTGTTTTACGACGGCGGAAGAAGCTTTTAAATGATATCCAGCGTTTAGGTTTTGCATCCGCTGCTCGCCTGCTGCCTTCCGAGTGCAAAACTGATTCAGCTTCTGTTGACCTGGGAGGGCTGGTAGGCTTGCTCCAGTTGGTGAAATGCTTCTGCAAAAGGTTACTTGCATGGTAAGGGGAGGAAGTAGAGCGTGGTGGGGGGAAGGGAGGTGGGGGCTCACTGTGGGGATCAGTCACTAGTTTGGAGGGAGGGCTGGTGACTGGCTTTGCCAGTGGATCTTTCTGCACTTTGGTGATAAGGTTTTCTGTGGTCTGAAGGGCTTCAGCCTCACCACTGGGCTGCGATGTAAAGAGAGATTTGGGCCGGACTGGTGTACTCCTGGCAGCACCAGCGTCTGGAGGAACTGCATAAAGCTCTTCCACACTGCACGCCTTCGGACCAGACGGGGGCACTTCTGGCGGAGACTGTGGGGGCTGGATAGAAGCCACAATCTGAGAAAGCACTGTGCTTGCCTTCTCCCGGCTGCCGCTGCCCGGCATCTGTGGCTCCTGGGTGCCTTCTGTTTCGGCAGCAGGCTCTTGAGTGGTTCTCTGGATCTTGGTTGGGGAGCTATGGCCGGAACTATAGCTTCTCTGTGGTGAAGACTGACCTCTGTTAAGACAGCTGTTAAACTCCTGGACCTTCTGGGCCACTGAGCCCCTCTTCCACTCGGTGCTGTCTGCAGACCCTTTAGTTTGGGGACATTCGGTGGCCTTGCTGGAGGTGTCATCAGACACTTTGCTTGCAGTTTCTATTTCTTCGTAAGTATGGCTTATTATACTCGTGGTTTTTTCCTTCACTGAAAGTTCTCCACTTGTGCCGAGAAAACTTTTATAAATGGCTAGATTGTCATATGCATTTGGATTGATTACAATGGGAACTTTGATAGCATTTTTGGAACTCCGAGCATACGTTGGTTCGTCATGAATGATGATTGGAAAAGGCGGCATACCAGCATTGTTATAACTATTAAATTTTATTTCAGACAAATTAGGTGACTTAACAGGGATGGTTTTGGAAGAAATGTTTGTAGCTATGGGTGACGTGGGTGCTGACTTGTGACAGCTTTTCCTTGGGGGGACATTTGACCCAGTTCCACCACTAATTAATTCCACCTTAGGTATCTTTTGGCGTGGACTGGTACTGGAAGTCCATACCTCCTGGTACCGAATTGCACTGGACTTTTGGAAATGGGCACTTATTTGTCCTGGTGTCGATGGAGGTGATGTCACTGGAGAGTTTGGGGTAGAAGATGAGCTTTTGGTCTTGGGGCTGTGGACAGGGCCCTCCAGGTGCTCGCTGGCCATGGCTGCCGACACGTCCACGACAGTGTACGGCTTGCACAGCGGCTGTTCGAGATTCACAACGCGGTAGGGCTTCGCTTGTTCTTCTGCAGGAACGAGGTTTATGGTTATTGCGTGCCCGGTGATATCTGTAGAGGCTTTACTCTCTTGCTTCTCAGTTTGTACAGCAATCTTGCCATCCTTCTCTTCCAGCCGGAGAGCAAGGACTGCTTTGTGTGTCTCCGGAACTTTCGCGGAGCCTGTGGATGGCTGTGAGGATGACTCCTTCTGATTATTACCAGACAGGCTTTCATAATCGGGCTCCCTTTCCTTCATGTCCTTGGAATCTCCGGGGTTACCAGGAGATGGTCCCCTATGACAGACCTTCTGGGATAGACTACTGGCTGTCTCAGAACGTGATTCTTCTGTTAAAGAAGAGTCTGGTGATGTGGTGTCCGACGACACCATGCTCTGAACGCTTCCTGGTCCATAGGACACCAGAGAATTCTCATCATAACCATTCAGGATTTCATCATAACTGTCATCATAGTCCACAGCACAGATTCTTTGTAGAGACTTATTTCGCAGAGGGACAGTATTCCATTTTTTGTCCACACAAAATCGAACAGGGGACAAGGTGTTCGCCCTGAAGTTGGCGAAGCGCGGCTGCCCTCGCATGCGAATCTCCATGGCCAGCAGCTCCTCGTCACTCTCATCCCAGCTCTCACGCTCCTCCTCCATGTTACCAAGAAGCTCGTCGTCCTCACTCTCCTCACCACTAGAAAACTCCGGGTAACAGAAGCGGCCCCCTTCGTTACTGATCACTTCTGTGCTCCCACTCAGAATAACGTGCCTGCCCTGAGTGTCCTTTATCCCACCCATCATGCAACTCGGTGGAAGCTTTCTTTCCAGTGATTGTTTATAGCAGTCATTTATTCTTCCTAAGAATGTTTCTCTGGAGTTTGTTTCATTTCCTCTGATCTGAGGGGTAGTATCCAAGCCTGCTATCTCTTTCAACACTTCAGTTAGTCCATTGTTGTTATTTGATCCCTTCTTTGCACTACCATTATTGCCATAAGGTTTAGGAACGTGGCTAAGTCCTTCAATACCATCTGCATTATAATTATTATTAGGAAGTGGTTTCTGAGTCAAGGCCGTCCTGCTTTGGCTCCTCCCTGTAATGACAGGTTTGTCCTCACAGTGTTCTTGGATGCTAAGCTCACCACACACACTTTGCCCACCTGCTACCATCATAGTGGGCTTCACAGCTATAGTGGGTTTTTTAGCCACAGGAGGCCGGAAGTTTCTGGTGTTTCTGATGCGATGGTTGTTACTGTGATTGGCATTAGTTTTCACATTGCCATGGGAGATGGGTGCCTTCTCGGGGTCTGGAGGCAGCTGATGTAAGCGTTTAGGTTTAAAGCAGTTCTTGCATTCACCAGGTTTCCAAACGTGTTCAGTAAAGGTGTTACAAGCAGACATTTTTAAAAATAGAACTTCACAGACAACACTTTCCTTTCAGTGCATGGCAAAACTTTCATCTGTTAGTTTTCACCTCCCCTATGTATCATAGCAGCTCTTGTTAAGTATAATCAATCTGTGAGGGGGGAAAAAAAGAAAATATGAATGGAAAAGGCACTATGAAGCCTTTCATGATGAAAACTGGCTCAATTTCTTAAGAGATTGAGAGAAAAACTAAGTTGGGCACTTTATGAACCCCTGTTAGCCAATTAGCATTTTGGAGAGTTAGTTTTTTAATCATAATTTTACATACTCTCATTGAACCATATCTAATCTTTCATTTGATGTCTCTGTGGCAATGATACTGTGGCCTTCCCCTCCTGGAAATGCTTTGAAACTGCTCTTTCTGTGGTCCACCAGTCCATGTGACTTCTCATCCATTGTGTGTTCCTCTTCCTCTAACCACCCTTCACATTTTGGAATATCTCATTGACTCCTCAAACTCAGTGCATTTGAGAAGTAACCCTCTGGTTACCCCTTTTCTCAACTCCAAGAGACTAGTCTACTCTAACCATTCCCCCTCTACCTCCAGGCCACCTTCTTCCTCAGTCTTTTATCCTAGTTTAGTTAACTGTCAATATTATCCACCTCAATAGCTAAGCTTCAACCTTCGACCACACTTGAGACCTCTTCTCTTACTTCTAACTCCACATCCTACTAGCTCCCTAAATTATTTAGTCTTGCCAATTTTATCTAGTACATTTCACTAGAACTCATTCTTGCCATTATCAGACACTGAGAGTAATTCAAATACTCATCATATTTTTGCCTCAATCCCTGCATAGGCTGTTGTTACCTGATCATCATGTCTGTAGTCTCACTCCATTCCGATCTAGCCTCTACCCTTGTTATTCTAAGTGTAGTCCTCAGTCAACCAGTATCAGTCTCATCAGGGAGTTTGTTAGAAACACAGTATATTAGGTCCTACCCCAGGCCTACTGGGTCAGAGTCTGTGTTTTAATGAATTTTCAAGTGATTCCACTGTTCCATACTACAATCCGATTTAATTTTCTGAAATGCTAATATGATCATCTTTATACCTACCTTGACTATTCTGTGGAGTACTACCTAACACACTGGCTACTGAATGTCAGTGTGCAGGCTAGAGGTTGCTAGCTAAATAAGAACCACCTGGGAATTTATCCTAGAGGTACCTAGTCAATCTCTGATGGATGAGTCTGGGAATTTGATTTTTTAAAACAAGTTCTCCAGCGCCGGCCGAGTGGCGCGTTGGTTAAGAGCTGGCTTGGGATGCCAGAGGGCCCCGGTTTGGATCCCACATATGACGGCCAGTGACACTGCCCTCTACAGCTAAGATACTGAACAACAGCTCAACCTGGAGCTGGGTTGCTGTGAGTCGCCGGCGACAGTGTAGGCTGCTGACCCTGCTGCAGTGGGTTGCCATGGGCTACCGTGTGTAGCCAGCAGCCAGCGTGAGCGGCCAGCAGCCGCCGTGAGCAGCCGTCCAGAAGCCGGCAACTGATCTGCCTCGCCTGGGAAGAGCATAATGATGGTGCCAACTTGGGCGAGTGAAGCAACGTCCTCCACAACTAGACTGAAGAACAAAAAGACAGCAACTTGTCTGTTCCCCTTCCCCCAACCTCTGAGTTATGGGATGGATGACAAGCCCATTAGATTTCCATGAGATGGTCCTTGCCTCCCTTCTAGCCTCATGTCTTGAAAATCAGATACTCGTATTATACTCTAAATTGCACCGGCTACTCATTTCTCCCTGGTACTATCAAAGCCAGTTGGACACTTCTCCATGAACAAGCACTTTCATTTTTAATTGCCTGTTTCCTGTTTCCTCACTTAAAGAAGTTTTTGAGCTTCTTTAAGGCCTGGACTTAAAGATGATATCTTAAACTTCTCTATATGTCTAGCATAAGGAGCTGAATAAACAACAGCTGATTAAATGTGCTGGTTTTAAGGCTTATTTTTAAAATGCATCTTGTGGCTCTCCCTTTGTCTTAGGTACATAGTTGCAGACCTTCCCACAGAACATCACTACAGTCTTACATTTCTACTTTGGGCATTTTAATAAAGTTGTCAGTAGGTGTGTACATGTAAGAACTATTTTAACCACTGGAAAGTTTAACTTCATTCGTGTACAATACAATGACAGACGTGATCCTTGCTTTGGTCAGAAACCCAGCCTTTTTGCTAAGTTTCAGCATGGTTACAAGGAGGAAAAATATACTTTCTTTAGAAAATACATACAAAGCTAAGTCCCTTGTAAAAACTACTCATAAAGAACTCTGCGTTAGTGGGAGAAGTACTGACTTAAAGATCAAAGAAGTCCACACAGAGCCCAATAACCCAGCTGAAGTCCAAGTCCATTGAACCGCTGGAGATCACTGAACCACTCTCCTGAATAAGGTTAAAAATGTACTTCTCAAGTGTTAGTTTGAAAACATTTATTTACTCTTTCAAATATTCTAAAAGCTATGCCCCTTAGTTGATAAAACCATTTCCTGCTAGTCTGAGACTAGAACATTTTGATTAAGGCGAAAAATGGCATAAAATTAGGCTGAAAAGGAAAGCAGGGGCCGGATCATGCAGGGCCTTTTAGGGTTTTAAAGATTAAGGTCTATCCTGAGAGCAGTGTGAAGCCACTGAAGGATTTTGATCAGGGGACAAAAACATGATCCATTTTGCATTTTAAAAAAGGTGGTTCTAACCAAAAACATGAAATACTTAGGTATAAATTTAACAAACTTTGTGCAAGTTCTAAAATCATATGCAGAAAATACAAAACACTGATAAAATATATCAAAGACTTAAATAAATGAAGAGATACACCGAGTTCTCTCAATACTGTTAACATGTCAATTCTACCCAAAGTGCTGTGTAGATTTAACATAATCCCAACCAAAATCTGAGGAGGATTTTTTGGAGAAATCAACAAGGTAACTCTAAAATTTATATGGAAGACAAAGGAACTAGAATAGTCAAAACCATTTTGAAAAATCACAAAGCTGGAGGACCCACATGACCTGATTTAATACTTAGTAAAAGCTACCGTGGTCTTGACAGTGTGGCAATGGCAGCAGGCGGCAGAGGGCGGGGAGTAGGGCAAGCAAGCTATGGCTCCAAGGCCACACATCTAGCCTGCTACCCATGCTCTATGTCCCTAAGCTACAGAGGCTTGTACCATTTTTATATGGTTGGAAAAAAAAATAAAAAGAATATTTGGTGACAAGTGAAAATTATATGAAGTTCAAATTTCAGTGCCCATAAGTAAAGCTCTGTTGGAACATAGCCAAGCTCTTTTATTCACACATTGTCCATGGTGGCTTCTGTGCTACACTGGACAGTTGAGTAGTTATGACAGACTGTATGTGGCGCTCTGATTACTTTGTAGTGCTTTCCAGCACTCTGCAAATTGTAGTGTTTTCACTGCTACATGTATCACCTGTGTGAAAAGGTTTTTTTCAAAGATAAAAACATGTAAAATTTTATTATAGATATGCATTAATAGATGAACATTTGGGATCAATTTTGATGAGAAGAAACACTCACTTTGAACCCTAATTAAGCAAAATTTTATCTCTCTCCCAAAAAAGAACTCCATTCTTCTTAAGAATTCTACTCAATTATTGTATTTTAAATTTTGTCCAAAAATTCACGGAAATGTGTTTTCTGTCTTGTTATAAAGAACCTACCAATGCTGTGGATTTTGCCTTTTGACTGACAAAACCTAAAGTGTTTATTATCTGGTTCTTTGTAGAAAAGTCTGTGACCCCTAATACGGATCAGAACAGGCACAGAATGGAGTCCAGAAACAGAACCATGCAAATATAGGCAAATGGTCTTTGACAAAGGTGAAAGGGATATTCTTTTCGACAAATGTGCTACAACAACTGGATATCCATAGGCAGCAGAATGAACCCTGATCTCTAACTCACACCCATGCACAGAAAAATAACTCAAAATGGACCACAGATCTCAGTATGAAATGTAAAGCTATAAAACTTTTAGAAGAAAACATAGGAGAAAATATTTGCAAGCTTAGGTCAGGCAGATTTCTTAGATACAACACAAAAAGCATGATCCATAAAAGAAAAAAAGAGATTTGAGCTTCATCAAAATGAAAAATGTTTGCTCTGACAAAGATGCTGATAAAAGAATGAGAAGACAAGCCACAGTTGAGAAAATTTTTTGTAAAGTACACATCTGA